GAGCCTCAGACTATTTTTTCACAAACAGAGCACTTGTTTTGTGCTTTGTTACCTTTACAGTAACCAATCTGACACTGCCGACGTTTAATGTTCACACGAATTCCCGACTCCGCTGAGTTGTTCGTCGTAATTCCCGTTGTCACGTACCTTGTGTGATGTATACATGTAAGCAGTTCTTCAGAAAGATCCACCAGATACGACCGGCGAGATATTTTAGTTCCGCAAACACTGTTATAAATTATCCAGGAATTTATGCCAGCCAAATCCGGTACGTTGAAAAAGACTTGGACTCGCCATCGTCGAGATGATGACTTCACAGTGAGTGCTCTTGTCATTTGGTCGAGTGCATCCACACCATACTTTGTGGAGTTGTAAAACAACACAGTCTCGGGTTTCTTCTTTCCAGAGTCTTGAACGGAAGAGTTACTATGCAGGGAACTGAAAACCAAAACACTCTTATTCCTTCTACACTGGTAGGATGTTAATGTGTGCTTATTTTCATTCCTCATCATAAGTGAACTGAACAGCTCTCTATTTCTTTGCTTCAAAATCGATGGTACTTCCTTTCTATTAGCTCAAAGTGTTCCCACCATACTTGTATTTTTCTTGGCCAGCATTTCTCCTAATGCTGCCGATGTAAAGAAGTTGTCACATGTGACATTGTACCCCTTTCCAAATAATGGTGACACCAAGCGCAATACCACGCTCTCTGCAAGACTTTCTCCTCTTGACCGAGTTTCGTCCTTCCGAGATATGGAAATCCATTAACGAGATACTTGCTGTGTACTTCTGCCAGCATCCAAAACTTGATACCGTACTTATCTGGTTTGTTGGGCATGTACTGGAGAAAACGACAACGGGTTTTGGAGGGAAACAATTGCTCACCAACTGTGAGATTCTGATCAGGCACATAGCATTGTTGAGAGTTGCGAATGAATGCATTCCACAATTCAGATACCAAAGCAAACTTATCGGTTAGCAGTCTTTCACATCGGGTAGTTCGCATGTCAAAACGGAGGAACCTCATTATTTCTTTGAAGCTGTTCTTGCCAGTTGTCTCCCTGAAAATAGGCAGTCCATATCTATCGCACCACATCATATTCAACGGCATGTTCTTCAGACCCATGAAGCCTCTGATGTAAAGTAGACCAATAAAGGCACGCAGCTGTGGAAGACTTACGCTCCACTGACAACTGACACCTAAACTCTCTTGGCCTCAGCTTCAGTACATACTTGAATATGTTTCAGCATCTGGGGCGTGATTATGATGTCAAAAGTGCTCGACAGCTCACCATATTTCACACATTTCTTAGCATACGGAGTTGGTCCTGGTCTAGCCTTAAACACATTCTGTGATGGAATCCTACCAACAGTAGATGTTTCGAACTCCACTGCGATCCACGTGCTACCATCTTTCGATACGTGAAGCTCACCGGGAGATACCGAATCGGTTGATACACTCTCTCTAGGGTCCTCATATGGAGTGTAATCATCAGACGCTTGACTATCAGACATGCTGTGATCTTCTGCTGACTCATGGAAGATGGAGTCCTCATCAACATCATAATCGTTCTCGTCTCCAGACTCGTTGTCATCGATGGTTGTAAGTTCTCGTAAAACCTCAAAGGCTGTTTTCCTCAGAAGTGCCACTGTGTACAAAAATGTCACTGGAATTTATCTGACTGAACGCACAATATCACAGTAAAATCGTGATTCGGCTAGTTTTCACTCCCGTTTTGACTGCTATAGTATATAACTGTCAGAAATGATAGTGGTGGCTAAAAATAAAAAGAAGAACCGGATTAGAGAGAAGCGGTCATTTTGACCGCTAACGGGCTTTCTAGGTAGTATGAACACAGCTACCTCTTTTCTCGGAAACTATAACAGATATGAAAACGAAAATTCACAGTAATGAAGAACGTCCAAAAATATTAAAAGTCACGAAATATCTTTGAAAAATGTCCATGAATGTGGAAAATATGCACATTTAAAAACGCTGAGCGGTCAAAATGACCGCTCCGGGCATTCTAGTGTTAAACAAGGCGTCGAGCGCGCTCGTTGCTCACGCGGTGTTCCCACCAGATGTGAGCCGAACTGCGAAGGCACAGGTGGTCGAACGTAACTAGCCTCTTTAAGTCCGCTAATCTAAGGGGCTAGGTTTCGCAACCATACAGTAGAGTCGAACAAACCGCTGCATTGTGCACTCTAGCCTTCAAGGCGAGAGTGATGTCGCGCCACTGCCATAAGTGACGAAGGTTAGCAAAAGCGCCTCGAGCTCTTGCTATACGGTTCATGATCTGATCTTCAATCCCATGGGCACATGACTGGATCAACACGCTGTCTTTTCTACCTTTCATTCAACTGCTAATTGCAAGTACTGCTCGGTTGTACCACTTAGTGATGAGTTCATTGCAGGTTACAGCAGGATCTGTGCCACGTTTCTGAGTTTCATTCGTTTATAGAAGCCACGACCTCGAACTAACTGCACGCTGTCAGATGTGTGACACATATCACCCTATACGTCATCGACACTTATTCTCGCTGAAGACACTATGGGGCTGGTCACTGCAGTTCGTTGGTTTCTGCGAACTATCGCTGATTACTGTTAGAAACACCAACTGTGTTCTACTTGAGTCCTGCGCGGCACTGCACTGTTTGCTAAACTGGAACTGTTTGCGCTTACGATGTTGTGACTTCCACATGTCTATTCGCATACATTCTCTGTTTGCGTTGCACACCAATGACGCGCCCATTTTTGCGAAGCATTGTGGTAAATTATTCGGGGAAACCCTTCTTTCCAACGGACCAATGATACTCATTAGGAGCATCCAGTGACTTTCCACAAAGTAACGTCGTAACGTGACGCATCCACATATCGCGTGATTGGCTGGATGGGTTCTAAAACTCTTTTTGTTAACTTTTTTTAGCTGTACCGCCTCGGTAACTGTTCCTTCAGCACACTTTTTGATCTATGTCTTCTACTTCTTATATTTCTGTTATAGGAAGCTTGTTGCGAACAAGTCCCTTTCGACCAGGATTGCCTAAAAGTCGCTAGATCGAGAAGTGACAGTCGGATTGGTGCGCGTTTTAATTTTTGGATGGGTTCCCCAAGATCGAGCACACAAGTGCTTAGAAATCCCATCAGCTATGACGCAGACAGTTTCCTGTTTCTTGTTCTCAGTTAGTCCATTGGGGCTTAGTGTTTTACTGCTTCATCCGCTTGAATTTATCGTTTTTGCTTTACTCACGTTCTCTCTCTAATTATTATAATTTTTCACTGCGTTTATGGCTGTATGAGTCAAGATACATGTTGTTACCGCATTTCGATGCATCCTATAATTGCTTCAGTGAAATGCTCTTTCCTTATTTACGTGACGCGAACCACGACTCAGAGATACTACATACTGTATTGTGGGAACAACTGAAAATTCAAATCTACACAGCTCCATCGAAAGCAAATTATCTATGGCTTGTCAATACCCTAATCGACTTTCACGCTTTCACATGATATCGTAAAAAATACGGGTTCCTTGTTACTTGGGACTCAAAGATGTGAGATGTCAGTGGGAAATCGATCTCGGCATCTACCATTTGAGAATAGCACATCCAACCATCATTTGACCTGCTGCACAACATTTGCTTCAACGAGATGCTCCGGTAAACTGTTTCAAACACTGACTGCTCAACGTTCAAAGCACAGAGGATGGCTTACTGGCTTCATATCTGGAATCACAAGCTTGCACTTGTGTCTGCGTGTGCCGCAAGTGGAGCAGTGGCCTCAGCTTGGAGACACCACCTAGATGTAGAATGCGGTAGGCCATGATGAGCACGACTTGCATCCGACCAGGGTGTATAATCCCAGTCTCTCGCACCTGCCCTTATACGGTAAGCATCGCAAACTGGGGATGAGCCTGGTAGCGACGTGTTGGATCCGTTCAATTTTCTGTGCCTCACTTCGATTGGTTGAGCGATAGGCGAGTGCCAGCCTCTTCAGATCAGATTCGGAAGCTGCGTTTAAGCGTGCGGAGCATACGCAGTCCGTTTCGGTGTGGCCTGTTTGTGTAGTTTACGGACTTCAGATCGCAACGTGAGAGTACCCCTCGGTCCTTCACTGAACATGTGAGATGTAGTAGTTGGCCACCAAAATTGTAGCTTCGGTCGTCACCACCCTTCCCCAGGTCCATGGATACCGACTTGCATGGGTTGACCGGGAGGCGGACTTCTGCACACCACATGGAAAGACGGTTGAGGTTTTGCTGAAGTAGTCCGCAGTCCTCGAAAGTGCTTATAACTCTCTACATCTTCGGGTCTTCTGTAAAAATGCGGTACACGGTGACCGAAGAAGCTGAGGTAAATCGTTGATATAAATCGGAAACCATGTAGGCCCCAGCACCGTTCCTTGGAGTACGCCACTGGTTGAAGAATACCTGTCGGTCAGATGGTTATTGACTTGTACCCTTCAGTTTCGTTCAACGAGGAAGTCCTAGATCCACTGGTGCAGTGAGCCACCAGCATCGCAGACTTACGTTTTGGATGAGGACCTCATGGTTCACCTTGCTGAACACATTACTGCATCGGTGTAGATCACGTCAGCAGGCTTCTCCTTAGCTACGGGTGCATTTCATGTTCCTGAATTTTGATGGACCAAAATGTCGAATCACGTTACGGAATCCCGGTTCAAAGTAGAGCATGTCTTCTACTCTCCAATCCAACTTTTAAGTGAACCATAATTCACTTCCATTTATATCGCAGTCCAGATTGAGTTCGATTTTCCCTGTTCATTCACAAAGCGAATGATTCAAAATGAACCATTATGCATTTATTAATCGCGTGTATTTTTGGAACTGTGAAGCACTTTGTACTGTGGGCCACTGCTTACTGAAAGCAGCAGGGTGCGGAATCTATGAACCCATATAAATAAATAAATAAATATCTAAGGGACTTTATGAGATCCGCTGTCCTTCCATTCCGTTTCTGCTTATCATTCATTTTCCTTTTTAGTTTTGAGCTACACGAACTTGAAGTTCTCCGCCAACACTCCTCAACATGCCCTCAAGGTCAACCGTCAAAAGTTCCCCTTTCCAAAAACATACTGCACCCAAATCCTCCAATTGCGCTGTGCCCAAGCTAGATGATAAAGGTCCCCTTGCTGTGGTTGTGGCGGATTTAGTCGCCTCCCGTTTCCAGCCACTGTCTAGTCACACTCCGCACTGCTTATTGCCCCTGGCGAATGTTCCTCTGTTGCATTACGCGTTGTCACGTTTGGTCGAGGATGGTTTCAAGGACATCTTGATTTATTCGTGTAATCAATCCACTCAAGTGGAGGAGTTCATCCGAGACTCCAGTTGCTACGAAAATACACGCATACGCGTTCATCACGGTGACGGGAGTTCAAGCATTGGTGATGTGATGCGCGATCTGGACTCACGTCAAGCATTACGCGGTGTGGCGGACTTCTTGCTGGTACCAGCCGATTTAGTCTGTGCAAGGCCGTTACTTCCCTTTCTGGTGCAACACCAACAACGAAGAACACGTAATCCTTCTGCCATTTTGAGTTTGATTCTCCCGTACACTTCGAATGTGATCAGCCGTTCACAGGCTTCCGAATGGGGTGTCATGGCCATCTTCTCACGTAGCGCTGATAACCGCCTTATCCGACTGCAGCATGTAGCGTCACCATCTGTCGCCTTTTCTGATATTCTGCGCCCCGACCACTGCGTAGAATTGGCCTCCGATCTGATGGACTTGGAGATTGCTGCGTGCAGTGCCCATATACCCCCGTTGTTTCAGGTAGATCTGATTGGTGTCTGTTGTTGACATTGGTGCGCTTACTCCTTGTGTTTATGAGACCTTATCTACGGTCAAAGTCATCTTTAGCAATGCTTCTTAATTTGGTAAAGTGTCGTGGGGCGCAAGTGTATACTTTACTAAGCACTGGAGTCAATGAGATGTTCGCTATTATTCACTTTTTGATCCAGTTAGTTAGTTACTTAGCTGCTTATCAGTGTTGTCGCAAGCGGTGCTAAGTTGTGTGGCTGAGAGGGTTTGCTCAATTGTTCCTAGTATTACGCAAAAAATGCACACATCACACCGCCCATCCGCGGTATCAGTTTTGTTTAGTGATCGTTCACTCCGCGGCATATGATTACATGTTTTCTATGCCGCACCATTTTTAAGATCCCATAATGTCGGATCCTTTAATATAATCCGGACTTCATCCGCTATATTTTGGTTTTTCAAATTGTAGTTTCTATACTTGTGTTCTAAAACCAGTCTTCATTGCTTTGCTCACTGTAGTAGTGTTACTCCGCACAGGGTTTTTATCTTGTGAGATGTGAACATCCTTGATCTTTACTCCACATACCGTACCTCGTTAAGGCTTACTCATCTCATTCCTTGTATATTACCCTGTCATCGTGTGTCGTTGGGCCTTAATTACATGTTTTCCATAGCGCTTACCGGATTGACTCGTTTCTCTTTACTTTTTCTCAACAGGACAACTTTGACTACCGGACTTTGGGTGACCTTATTCATGATGTTTTGACTAACGAGGAGGTTATGGACTATTCCATCCACGTAGATCCCGTACCGAATGGTCCACTCGTCTTACGCGCCGCACCGGATTTACAAACGCTCATTAACTTGGGTCCACATATTTTGTCACGCTTCGCTTCTGTACCAGACGTCCTCCCTCCAATGTTGCTTCCACAGAACTGTGAATACTCCGCATTTGGACCACAGGTTTATGTTGCAAAATCTGCTAGCGTGCACCCAAAAGCAAAAATCGTCGGAGCTTGTTTAATTGGTCCTGGCTGCCGCGTGGATTCTCGTGCCTGCCTCATTGACTGTATCTTGGCCTCTGATTGCCGGGTTGGGGAGAAGACCTGTCTTCGTCGTGTAGTCGCTTGTTGTGGAGCCACGTTTGGGGCTCGGGTTTCTGCTGATACAGCTTGGGTTTGCGCCAAAGCCACTGTGCTCGATGGAGTGCGTATGCCCTTCTGTTGTTTCATCGGCCCTTCTGTAGATTCATTGGTTAGCTTGGGTCCCGGCCGGGGCGCCCTCCCTTTCAAGTCCGTACTTGTGGCTCCCAATGATATAGACCTCATCCTCGAACCTGCTATTGGAGGGGCTCAAGTTTGGGCTGCGGAGTACATTCGCAGGAAGCATCCTGCCTCGGTGAGTTTTCCCGACTTGCCTTTTTATATGAGATTAACAATCCATAAACCAAATATTTCGTTTTTACACTACCTTACTTTAGGTATTGATACCGCATGTTGTAATTTTCCTCCATCCCATCACAAATTATCACACAGTTTGCTGGTTTCTGGCTTTCGATCTTTTACTAAATAGCAACACGTAAAATTGGACCTGTCATTGTCCACTCTTTTCGTTACTTGCACCAAGTGTTTAGTTTCGTAAGGCTTGATAATCAAAGAACACCTATGCGCACGTTGTCGTGCCTACACTTCTATTTCTATGAATGATTTTATTTCGAGTAACATATGCGAGCAATTAAAAAACGTTACTTTGCACCACCTAGCAAAGGTTGGGTCAAGTGATCAGACCGGGTGAGCGTGATCTGTTTGGGCAACGTAGCCTAAGACAAGCTTAGGTGTACAATGTGGATTTTTATATCCTGATGAGTTCCTCTTAACACAAACACATAGGAAGTCACGTGAAGTATGTCTTAGTGCCACTTATTTTTGCTTGCTGAATTAAATTAAACTCGGTTTTGTTTTACCTACCTTTCTGTAAGCACAACATACATAATCTGATGGTACCAGTGGTCTCTTCATTAGCTGTTTGGCACTGATTCTAGGCGTCTTTGCACAGCCTTATCGTGCCGCTCTTCACAGTCTTTTACCATGCTGTGTTTCTCTGCCAGCCAGGTTCCCGATTGACAACGCACTGGGTCCACCTTGAATTCTGTGGTTGCATTCACGGGCTGGTTGTTCTCCCTAATCCCCTGTGTGTTTGTTTTCTAACCAAGGTCATAGGCGATGTACCCTCGAACCGCACTCCTCTCTTACTATAAGCACTCCTGAATCTCACCCTACCACGGGGTGTTCAGCCATGATGTATAATGCCAGCCGAAGAGGCTGGTCATCGGGCATACGGAGAACATAGCCTAGCCAACGGAAGTGATTAGGATACTGCAAACACTCGAATGAGGCATCAGAAGACTTCTTGCCGAAAGCCAACTGGCGGACCTCAGCATTGTTTTCCCATTGTTCCCACCAAACATGAGCAATACTTCGCAAGCGCCGGTGGTCATACACGGTCAGGCGTTTTATGTCTTCGCCGCGAACTGGCCAGGTCTCTGATCCATACAATAACACAGGCCTTATCGCAGTGTTATGCATCCTACCTTTCACTGACAAGCTGATATCGCTCCGTCTCCATAGATGATTGAGCCTTTGGAAAGCTACATGGGCCTTGCTGACACGCGAAGTAACCCTCGGTTATGTGACCACCAGAGGGGACCCTTCTACCAAGTGAAGCAGTCCACCACTTACAGTGCCTGCTCGATGATAGCTAGAACCATAGGTGTCTGTCTAGTCCTACAGCAGCATTTTGTACTTTGAAGGTGCAAAGCGCATGCCGAAGCGTGCAGAGTTACGCGTCAGTCAATCCAGTAGTGTTTACATAGCCGCTGCGTCAGACCCAAGGAGAACTATGTCGTCCACATACTCCAGGTTTGTCAGCAGGTTGCCTGGCAGAACTTCCACTCCAGAATGGTCTGGATGGACCGAGTCACTCATGATCATTTCGATCACAAAATTGAACAGGAAAGGAAATAGAGGACAACCCTATCGAACCCCACTTATCGTGTGAAACCCAATTGCGAGCCCTAATTGTCGTGGGGAATTCAGGAGAGAGTTTCCCTTATACCTTTACACGGCCTCGGGAATCACGGTACGGTAAATTCAGAAGGGAAAGGAGTTTGGCTAGAATGCCTTTAATGCATAAGCAGTGTCACCAACAGGTGCGGTCAACAGACTCGAAGGCAGCTTTCAAGTCACTTAAAGTCACCATACTCTGTCGTCTGTATGTGTGTCTTTGCTGTAACACTTTGTGGTCGATGCAACCACTACCAAGGTGGATGCCAGTCTGGCTTTCAGTGATTCGGTTCTCATGGGGACCAGTAAGTCATCGTAGAATGCTACCATTGAGAAGTTTGGAAGTTACGGAAATAAGTCTGATGTCTATATGATTTTCGCACAAAGTACGCCACGCTTCTTGAAGATGGACACGATAGTCGACAGTCGCCAGTCTGAAGACACCTCTTCACTGTTCCATATCCTCTTAAATAGAGAAGCGAGACCAGTCAACAAATATATCGGAAGGTCGTCGGGTCCACTAGCCATGTTTCATTTCAACACGGAAAGCTCATGTCGAATCTCTTCCAAAGTAGGACGTGTGACTTATATTCCCCACATCGCTTTAGGTGATTTGGCGAGCGACTTTTGCAACTGGCGGCTGAACTGGTGGCGGTCTTGTTGACTGCCACCAGGTTCACTGAACTGTCAAGGAATATGTTTGCGTCGGCTGGGACAATGCGCTTTCCAACCAGGGAACATGTAGCTCCCTTATCAAGTAGCATTTTGACACGATTTATGCACAAAATCCCAAACACGAGTGAAACAGCTGCACAATGCGCGCCAAGCACAGCCGGTACAGCGAACGAACATCTTCGGGACCCAGCCCGTTGGTTGTGCTCAATAAAGTTTGCAGTCTCCCCGAAGTTTCTGCGACATATTCTTTTGCTATGGGTCTCTGTTCAGTTCGACAGCAGGGTGGTTGGTGATGACAGGGTCCTTCCGTTCGGCTCAGCTCAATGACGCACCCGTAGCCGCATCCACGCTCTCGAGTTTCTCCCCTAATTACAGGGCATCGTCCAGTTTCTGTGGTGGGCGTTTCATCATCATTATCATTATACACGTTAGCTAGAGGTTTAAAACCCCTCAGCTACTGTGCTGCAATACATAAAAGAAAAAAGGAAAAGCAATGCAACAGTTGCATGCCAGCTGAGCTGCCAGCAACAACTGGGCATCGTTCCGGAAACCTACCAGCCGGCTATTAGGCAACAAAAAATTATGTGAAATTATCTTATGCTACGATCTGAGATTGTGGTCAGAGGGGAAGGATAAAAGGGATGGGGAGGGACAAAGAAACTCACAGCAGGAACACCACTGAGGTCGGATCCTGGCCATGTCAGCAAGTGTATCCAGCCAAACGTGTTCGTCGTCTTTCAGACCCCAACCAGGGAGCCGAGACGCTCGAACCGAGGCCAGTTCCAAAGCCAGGGCCTTCATTCCTCTCGACCAAGCTATTGCTTGATCACCTCTCCCCTTCTTCCATCTGCACCCCCGGCGAGCAAACAAAGCACGTCGCGGGAGCCGTTGGGCTGGTATGCATAACACGTGGCCGAGCCATCGGAGCCTGGTGCGTGAGATAACGATGCTGAGCGGTTCATTTCCTTCTTCTGTACCGTAAACAAGGCGTCGAACACGCTCGTTGCTCACGCGGTGTTCCCACCAGATGTGAGCTAAATTGCGAACGCACTGTTAGTCGAACTTAACTAGCCTCTTTATGTCCGTTGATCTAAGGGGTCAGGTTTCCCAAACATACAGGAGAGTCGAGCAGACCGCTGCATTGTGCACTCTAGCCTTCAGGGCGAGAGTGATGTCGCGCCGCCGCCATAGGTGGCGAAGATTAGTAAAAGTGCCTCGAGCTTTTGCTCTGCGGTTCGTTATCTGACCTTCAGTCCCACGGGCGCTGATACAACTTCCCAGATAGTCAGTATTGAACGACTTCTAGCTGATCCACACCAAGGGTCAGCACAGGAGGCGGTCCAAGCCAACCTAGGAGGAACGCTTTGCACTTCGAGGGTGCGAAGCAAAAGCCCGAAGTAACGGACAGTCAGTGCTAATCTGTCCAGTGCAGCTTGGCACGTCTGGGAACTGTCACAGATGGGGGCAATATCGTCTGCATACTCCAAGTCAAGAAGTCGTTCTCTTTGGAGCAGATCCACCCCAAAGTGGTGTTCTGTGAACGCGATGTCCATGACTTCGTCAATAGCGAAGTTGAAGAGGAAAGGTGACAGCGGGCATCCTTGTCTGAAACCGCTGGAGATATTAAAGGGTGACGGGAGCTTGCCGTAAGTCCTCACACTGCCCGTGCTACGCGCGTATAATGCTCGGACCATATTTACAGTAATTTCAGGCACACCTTTCCTGAGTAAACAGTCCCAAAGTGCAAGTCTATCCACCGAATCGACTGCAACTTTGATATCGAGGAACACGACAACGGTGGGCCGCCAATATGTGTGACGGTGCTTCAACGATTGACGCAAAATGAAGATGTGGTCAGTGCAGCTACGACCTCGACGAAACCCGGCTTGCTATTCTACCAATATGGCTTTCACGAGTGCCAGTCAATCTGTGAAGCATGACAGAGGCAAGCAATTTGGAGGCGATGGGGACCAGACTGATTCCTCTATGGTTGCCGCATTCCGATCGTGAGCGTCCCTTGAAAATTGGGACTATGACGGAGCGGCTCCAGTCGGTTGGGACAGTTTCCTGCTCCCACAGTTTCACTAGTAACTCGCATAAATCATCCACAAGAGCAGGTCCCTCGAATTTGAATTTGGTCCCGCGGCTTTGTTCATCTTCAACAGTTTGATCTCTGGTTTGACTTCTGAGCGAGTGGGTGAATCCAAAGGGACGGCCCACGGAGCAGGGCGATAACCCTCCGTCGAAGAATCGAACCATTCCAGCGGATTAAATTGCCTTTCAAAGTGCTCAGCCTAACGCTGCAATCCATTTGACCAATTGTTGATAACGAAATGCGAGGACGAATATTGGCAGATGCTAGCATTACGTACTATCTCGTCATTACCAATACACTAACAGGAAATTCCTTTTATATAAAGCACAAGCAAGCCAATCAAATTTATGGTTGTGGTCATTGTTGTTGGGATAAGGACCACGGCAACCGCACGTTGACAACTAATTGCTTTTGGACACCCGAAGTTGGTCTAATTCGGCTTATCGCGACGGCCTCGGCAAATCGCAAAATTCGTGAATTAATAGGACGCAATAAGATCCGGAACGCGGATAAGGGATTAACACGGTGACGAGTCGTCGTTCCGGATATTGTTGCGTCATACTAAT